GGCAAGCCTGATAACCAATGACATTTTGTTTACGTTATCACGTGTTATGTCTTTTGTGTTACAAAATAATTAATCATTATAATTTATATACTTCGAACTTTGAAATCCCGTTCCCTAGTATATCACATGATGTATAATATATAAATAAATATAATTATTGTAATCTTTTTTTTTTAATCTTAGACATTTAATTACATGCCATTTTCAAAATCCTTCATGATTTAGATTTCTTTAGATTGCACCTACGCGCATTGTGTCCAATCTTTTACAGTGACTGCATATATACTGCGATCGATGAGTACTAGTGATTTCCTTCTGATGCATTCTTTATACGCTTTCTTGGAGCACCTTTTGTACGCATCTGATAAGGGTTGCTAATATTCGGCAAATTTTCTCGTTATCAATTGGCAAAATGATCAGCGCTATATGTAACACTATTTGCTGGCATCTCTAAAAAATTCTTTTTCACTGCGTACTTTTACTTTCATAACGGTGTTCTCCTAAAGTTAAGTATTTAATAACATTAGTGTCCTTTTACAATGTACACGCGCCTCTTTTTGTTGCATGGGGACCGCCAGGCCCTACCTGGTAGTTCAACACGAAAGGTAGCCTACTTGGTTAGACAGCTTGATGTACCTTGGACAGATTGGATGCTGGTTTGTTAACGCACTAGGGTTTACATGCAAATCTTCCGTGTTCAACACACGTGTAAAAAAAGAGGACTGCGGAAAGAGTCTACTTTTGGAGGGGTTAGTCTGTTGGTGTCGCAGGAGGCTACCACTCTGCCCGAACATTCAACATTAAAGGGTGGCTAGTGTCAACATGTCAGAGATTGCCTGCGACCGTCATGTGCTCAACCGCATGATTGCGACAGATTAACTTGTATTCAGACGGGGGGCTACAAATGAATATAAGTATGTGGATCTGGTGGATCTGTTAGTTAATTATCTTTCTTTTTTGTAAAGAACAGATGAGCAAAATTGATAACTTCATACTGAGCGCAAATCTTTGTCGACCATATACTGGAATCAGCAAGTTTTTCTCTGAAACCACCTTAAAGTGATGGACTAGCATTGAAGATTTCACAAAATTTATGTACAAGAAGAACCCAACGTTAACAGCGCAACAAGTATTTGATCAATATATTCGAAACCTCGTTGATATTACAACCATCAAGCAAATTGATCCCAATGTTGTACAACGCATCCATAATCTTTGTAAAAATATAATTGTATGGTTTATTATGTTATGAAGTGACTTACTAGTGTCTTCTTAGACAAATCTGACAAAACTGATCTTATTAGAAAACGGAATATATGAAAATTATTGGAGATACTCTGATTGAAATCATACGAGAAGATGCAAAGGTAAGTATAATAAAGACCATTGTACTATCAGAAAATTATTTATATGTACATTATACATTTAGCAAAGGAGAAGAAAAACTAGACGAGCCAGAAAAGAATTTCAAAACGCAAGAGAGGACGATGTTGAGAATCGGAAAACTGCTGGGTACATAAATAGTTATGTAAGTATACGTTACTGCCAATGTTATTTTAATACTGACCTTGTATTTCTGCAGAATGTGATGATGAAATAGATGATTTCTTTCAAAGCAATCCTGAACAAAAATCAACCAAGAAACAGCGGAAGTCAAGTGATGAACGAGGTTCAAGCGAAGCGGACAACGAGAGAGACAAGGTATGGTATATTGAAACAAATGTTCGGAAAACACGATGTTCTGACTATCCATAGCAATCAAAGACTGAGTAATTGTTAATTGGTGATATTCTTTTTAGGTTGAGTCTGAAGCGCAAGATTCCGTTTCTAATCTGAAGAGGATGATGAATCGGATTACATACTTTTATCTGAGTATGACGATGAATGGATTACATACCAAGGTATCCCGATAATCCTTTGATTGAAATTTCTTCGATTTTTGCCCTTTGATTCACAAAATTTCTTTCGTAATACAAGTGATACTGAAGGACAGAGTCTTCCACCGTTGTTAGTATCATCACAGCTCAAGGAATTCCAAGAATCCTACGCAAAGATGAATGTAGCTCAAAAGTGGTTTCTCTCAAGCGGAAAATTTGTTGAGGACACTATTTTTGAACATTGTAAGGTACTGTCAATCGAAACTTATCTGCATTCATGGATTATTGACTTAGACGATCAAGAAGCAGAAATGTTATTTAATAAGAAATTTGAAGAAACTAAACTGGGAAAAGCCATGCATGATATACTTGTATGCCTGAGCAAAAAAGTCCATTTCGAAGAAACAAAAATAAGGAAATTGCGAGTTGCCGGCATGCTTCACTTGGGTAAGCAAAATAAGGTATCCCGCAGTTCTTATTACTGTTCAGTGATGTAAACTGTGTTAATTTGTGTTATAGGTCTTAAATCGCAAGTTTTGCAATTGAGTAGCCCTAAGTGGTATGTATAAATATTAAAAAGGGAGAAGCTCCTTGAGATACCAGCTACAATCGAAAACATAAAAGATCTTATCAGGGTTTTGGCCAGTGTATGGATGTTGAAGGTATGTGTTATCTCAATATGTTCCTTCATCTGCGAAATATACTTGTCCTCTCATTAATTTCGTACAAATAGAGAATAGTCATGGATTGTGTGGAGACAGTGAACATGAGAACCCAAAATAACGAGAATTTTTACAGGAAGTTATCAGAATGGGCACGGAATCTCCTCCACCTACAGTTGTTTTACCATAGTCTTGCGATACAAAATAAAGATAGATAAGGGACATCAAAAAAGGTTGATTTGATGATGTTATTTAGTGAATTATCCCGAATTTCATTTTCTTGCTTTTTTTAATGTGTATGATTTATAAATTATTAAATACAGTAATTTCATGGGAAGTTAGCTGAAGGGAAAAAAAACCATGGTTATTCTGCTCCCCACGAATTACTAAGTTATACCCAGGAGCGTGATTTATGATGATATGTATACAATGAATTACTCAGAAGCATGTGACTTATAATCACGTGTATATACTTTTTACAATTTTCTCACATTGGTTAAATTTTTTTTTGTTTTTTTTTTAATAAAGGTGATAATTAAAAAATTTTTCCATTTTTTATGCTAAAATTAAAAATTAAACAAATTTTAAAGGAAACCTTATCAAGAAAAGCTAATGATACTAAAAATAACCAAGTATTGACCTATGAAAGATTTATTATTCCAACTGATAATAATGATTTACAAAAAAAACACCAAAAGAAATGCCATAAATTAATATCGAAAATATTAATATTCATAATTGTGAGTGTAAAATTAGACATTTTAATTAAATATTAAATTAATCTATTACAGAACTAATCATTGAAAAAGTTTATTACCATGAAAAAACTAGCTAAAAATATTCCAAAAAATATATTTACATGCATAATTATAAAATTATGATGTTTTTTATCATGTCACACTTAGTTTGACAGTGTATAAATGCATCAAATATTATAACATTGTTTTTCATAGTAAAAAAATTCATACTAACTTTATAATTTTTGTATTATGCTTTATATAGCACCTGTTTCCAAAAATTAATAAATGCTTTTTGCTTCTTATACTGGTATTAGCAAAGTAATACTTTTGTAAGATGTAGTAAAATTTTTTTCTTGGTAAAACTTCCTGAATTGAGATTAGAAAAACACATGATCATATTTTTTTCAGATTCTACTACTCCTTTACAGCTAATTTCATAATTCATGGACCATTAATAATTTTTCAGTCGCATTCAGTCGCAATTTATTAGTGGTCCACGAATTATGAAATTAGCTGTAAACAAAAAAAATGGATAGAATTGCTTTACTATAGCAAATGAGCAAATGCCTATTGATCAGAAAATCCTCTAAAATCAGAAAGTAGAATAATGTTTAAGATACAAGTTATCTGCTTATGTGAAAAATAAAAGAGGTTTGCTTAAACAAACTGTAAATAAAGCATTTAATATTGAGATTTCTGAATTTTCTTTAGAAGTGATTCTAATCCTTTTATATGGTATGATATCATTCTAACGGATATAATGAAGTTATAGTGCAAAATATAGTTGATCTATTTAGGGTAATAATGAAAATCAAATAAAAGGAAATTTTATACTGGTATTATTATTACAAGACATGTGAGGACTGAATCAGAAATGTCAAGTCTATAAGCTATATTAATGATTAATCAGTAAGAACATTGTCCTATAAGAAATCCAAATAAAGAAATGATACATTTTTTATAAGAATTGTATATATAATTTATGATTCTGTATCACAATTCTATATACAGTGAGACCTCTCTAAATGCACCCTCTATAAATGCACACCCTCTTTAAATGCATGCTTTGGTCCGATCCTAAGCTTGGGACTTAAATGCTAAATGCACCTTCTATGTTCTACACATGCAATAAATTTTCTGGTCCTTTCATATTACAAATTTATTCTCTAAACGCATGTCACATAACTCAAAATCAAAATTTAGTTCCAATTAGATGTATGATCCTTTCAATTCAGTCAATTCATTAAATAAAAAACGGATCTGCCATATTTACGGTAACAATACAAATATAATATAAATTTTCATTAGATAAATAAAGAAGGATCCGAATGATTATTGTGCTTGGCAGTAACGTGACTTTATTTATTATTTATTAATGCATAATTAGATCAACCGTTAAAAAATAATTATAACTCTTCAAGTCTGGAGGTAAGTACTATAAAAGGAAATTTGATTAATTAATTTTATTAAAAAAATCAAGCATTTAAACTAACAAAACTTACCATTATGTAGCTCTTCAA